TATTTTTTAGAGCAGTTTTAGCAAAATTAAGCAGAAAGGACAGAGAGTTCCCATATATCTCCTTCCCCTACACATGCAAACCTCCCCCACTATCAACATCCCACACCAGAGTGGGACATTGTTACAACTAATGAACCTACATTGACACATCCGTATCACCCATAGTTTACATTAGGGTTCACTCTTGGTGTTGTACATTCTAGGGGTTTTGATAAATGTATAATGACATGTATCCACCGTTGTAGCATAATACAGAGTAGTTTCACTGCCCTAAAAATCCTCTGTGCTCTGCCTGTTCATCCCTCCCTCCCCACAACCCTTGGCAACCACTAGTTCTTTTACTGTCTCCATAGTTTTCCTTTTCCAGAATGTCATATAGTTGGAATGACACAGTATGTAGCCTTTTCAGATGGGCTTCTTTCACTTAGTGGTATGCATTTAAGGTTCCTCTATGTCTTATGGCTTGACAGTTCATTTCTTTTTAGTCCTGAATAATATTCTGTCAACCTGATGGACCAGTTTATTTATCCGTGCACCTACTAAAATTCATATGGGTTGCTTCCAAGTTTAGCAATTATGAATAAAGCTGCTATAAATATTGTGAGCTGGGTTTGATGAGGACATAAGCTTTCAATTCATTTGAGTAAACGCCAAGGAGTACAACTGCTGGACCATATGGTAAGGGTATGTTTAATTTCATAAGAAACTGCCAAACTATCTTCCAAATTGGCTGTACCATTTTGCATTCCCATCAGCAGTGAATGAGAGCTCCCGTTGCTCCACATCCTCGCCAGCATTTGGTGTTGTCAGTGTTTTGGATTTTGCCAGATGTAACAGATGTATGGTGATATTTCATCGTGTTTTGATTTGCAGCTCCCTAATGACATATCACATTGAACACCTTTTCACGTGCTTACTTGCCATCTGTATATCTTCTTTGGGGAGGTATCTGTTCAGGTCTTTTGCTTGTTTTTTAATTGGGTTGTTATTTTTTTAATTGTTGAGTTTTAAGAGTTCTTTATATATTTTGGATAACAGTCCTTTATCAGATGTGTCTTTTGTAAATATTTTCTCCCAGTCTGTGGCTTGTCTTCTCATTATCCTGACATTATCTTTCACAGAAGTTGTTACTTTTAACGAAGTCCAGCTTGTGAATTATTTCTTTCATGGATTGTGTCTTTGGTGTTGTATCTAAAAAGTCCTCACCATACCCATGGTCACCTAGATTTTCTCCTATGTTATCTTCTAGGAGTTTTACATTTTACATTTAGGTGTATGATCCATTTTGAGTTAATTTTTATAAAGGGAGTAGGGTCTGTGTCTAGGTTCATTTTTTTTGCATGTGGATGTCCAGTTTTTCCAGCGCCATTTGTTGAAAGGATTATCTTTTCTCCATTGTATTGCCTTTGCTCCTTTATCAAAGACCAGTTGACTATATTTAGGTGGGTCTATGTCTGGGCTCTGTATTCTGTTCCATTGATCTATTTGTCTACTCTTTGTCTATGCCACCCTGTCTTACACTTACCCACTGTAGCTTTATGGTAAGTCTTGAAGTTGGATAGCATTAGTCCTCTGACTTTGTTCTTCAATACTGAGTTGGCTGTTCTGGGTCTTTTGTCTCTTCGTATAAACTTTAGAATCAGCTTGTTGGCTTCCACAAAATAACTTGCTGGGATTTTGATTGGGGTTGTGTTTGAATCTATATATCAAGTCGTAAATAATTGATGTGTTGAAAATATTGAGTCTTTCTATTCCGGGACATGCAATATCTCTCCATTTATTTAGTTCTTCTTTGTTATCTTTTGTCAGAGTTTTGAAGTTTTCCTCATGTAGATTTTGTACATATTTTGTTAGATTATACCTATACCTATGTGCCTAACCATTTCATGCTACAGACTACACTCACCTTTGACACCTTCCTCCCCCTCTCCCCCCATCTAATCTAGTCACAAACTGCTGTTGAGTGTCCCTCCACCCGCTTAATAAATTGCAACTCTGTCCTCTCTTCTCTTTTCTTCCACAGCCTCTGTTGTCCTTCCATTCTTCCAGCCCTTATCCCATTTTTGTGGGTTGTTTTTGGTTTTGTTTTTGTGTTTTTGTTCTTTTGTTTCTGTTTTTGCCTTTTTGGGGGGAGCAGAGAGGGGATGGGAAGACTGTTACAGCATTTTAACTCACCATTCAGTCCTTCTCAACATGTTTTCCAGCTTCCTCCAAGACAATTTTTCTAAAACATAAATCGAATCATGCTGGTTCCCTGATGAAAAACATTAAATAGTTTCCCAAAGGCTTTAAGTTAAACTCTAAACTCCTTGACTTGGCTCACAAAGCCTTGAGTAAGCTATCCTTGGCCTGATTCTTCAGACACTCATGCCGCGCCCTCGTTTACGCCTCGCACGTCCCCGTGTGATCTTGGGTGGATCTTCTCCCCCTTGGAGCAGCTGTTTCCCCAATTGCAAAACGATGGGGTCAGCCTAGAAGAGCCCTGTGTCTTTGCCCAGCCCTTAAAAAAGCAATCATCCTGACTTTTTACTTATCAACTCTTCCATTGTGATACATTTAGGTATCTGGGTCCTTTGTGTGTGTCTACAATTTCTTATAAGTGTTCAGGGATGTAAGTTTTAGGTAGGTCCTTGAAGGCAGAAAATGTCTTAAGAAGATTTTATTGTACTTGAGGCTAATAAAGACTGGCAAGAGATAAAAGAAGACTATTGGTATGATTTCTTTCTCCAAGTTGGACCCTGACTAATACAAGGGCACAGAGTTTAACACAAAAATAGACCAGGAAGAGACTAGAGGAAGGTCCAGATTACTCCTTCCTCGGAAGACGAGATGATAGTGAGGTGGTGGGAGAAGAGGGATTAGGACTGGGGAGAGATGAGAGGACCTCTCCTGAGGGACCTCATGGGGAGGAGCCTCAAGATACAGCCCAGAACCATCTGTCACTCGCTCCAGAAGGTCCAGCCAATGGCTGCAGAACATCCTGTGTTTCTTAGGCAGAGAAGTTGTGTTGACTGTTCTTCCCATCACCATCTGGAGAGAACTTTGGTGGTGGACACACTCTACAGTGGCCCCCATGATCTCCACTCGCTGTTCACATGCTTGTATGATCCCCACGTGTGGACAAGACCTGTGATTTGCTGCTAACTAATGGAAGATGGCACAATGATGGCATATATGTGATCACATGTTTCTGATCACTTTACTTTAGATTCTGGTGGCCGTTTTGCTGGAGTCTGTCTCTCTCTTGTTTGCTTTAAGGAAGCAAGCAGCCATTTGGGTAACCTTATGTAGCAAGAAACTGTGAGTGGCCTCTAGAAGTTAAGGGTGGCCTCTGGCCAATAGCTAGCAAGAAACTGAAGTACTTAGTCTACAACCTCAAGGAATTGAATTCTACCAGCCATCTGACAGAGCTTGGAGTTGATCCTTCCCCAGTTGAACCTCAGATGAGACCACAGCCCCAATACCTTGATTGCAGCTAAGCTGTTCCCAGACTCCTGACCACAGAAACTATGAAGTAATAAATGTGTGCTGTTTTAAGCTACTAAATTCATGGTAATATTGTTACACAGAAATTAACCCACTCTTCCATCAAAGCTGCTTGCATATAACACATAGATCATGATGCCTGCCTATGCCCCCAGGAGCCCAGTCCAAACTGCCGGTGTTGATACTTGCTCCCACTTCAAGGATCCAAGACACCTGTAACACTCCCTCCTCCATTAATCACAGGCGAGGTCCTTGGTACCAAGAGACGTTCTGGTTGCAGAGAAGGGAGAGCCTCCAACTTCAGCACTTGGTGGGATTACACAGCAGTGAGGCCTGGTGCCTTTACAGATGTATCAGGCAAACATGGGCCCGATGCAAAAACTGATGTGGACTGCCCCCAGCAGGCAGTACAAAGATCCCCTTCCCTTCCCCTGTGAGCAGAGAAAGTGGCGCCGGCTAAGTCAGGACAAGTCCTTTTTAAAAGTGGGAATAATATATAAGCTCACCAAAGAAAGAAGGCAGAGGCCTTACTCCCTTGGAGAATGCAGTTTCCATATCCCAGATGGCATCCAGAGGTTCCCAAGACAGCCCTGGCCCTGAGAACCTGCCTGCCTCTTGGTAGCCAGTGATCTGATTTTGGAATTTAATTTGAAGATTAAAGACTTGAGCCCAGACAAAGCTCACAGCCCCCCGGAGTGCACTCTTTTCCTCATCACTTCCCTCTTGCCTCTTCCCCATCTCCCTTTCCCTTCATCTCCTCTGAAACCTTCCTCTAGTCCAGCCCAAGGGTGGCTATACTGAGGGGAGAGTTCCATTGCCACAGGATTTCCCAGGCCAGCTGGAACCAATCTGTTGGAATTTGGCTAGTGATTTTTGACCCCAGGGACAATCGGGTGTCCCCTCCTCCAACAGGGACCATGGCTCCAAGCAATGCTTTGGCATCATGGCTGTAAACTCACCACGGACAGTAGGACCAGTTGTTGGCATTTGCTCTGCACAAACCTGTGTGTTTGTTAGGTTTTTGAGAAATTTTTAAAGTTTTTTTTTTTCTCCCTTTCTCTGGGTCAATTGCTAGATCCAGAATTGAACGTTGTTCATGTTGGAAGGAAACAGACATGGATTGGATTCTCTTAAATGCTAAGCAGGACTATTCTTTTTTTTTTTTTCTTGCAGGGAAAGATTCACCCTAAGCTAATATCTGTTGCCAATCTTCCTTTTATTTTTTTTTTCTTCCCCAAAGCCCCAGTAGATGGTTGTATATGCTAGTTGTAAGTCATTCTAGTTCTTCTATGTGAGCCGCCGCCACAGCATGGCAACTGACAGACGGGTGGTGTGGTTCCACGACCAGGAAGCAAACCCAGGCCACTGAAGCAGTGAGCACAGAACTTTAATCACTAGGCCACCAGGGCTGGCTCTAAGCAGGACTATTCTTAGCTTGCTTCTCATTCTCCCCACATGGGCCAAGTATTGGCTTAGCATCTCCTTAACCAATAAAATAGGATTCTCCAAGGGACTCAGCTTGCAGTCCATACCCTAGGCAGGGCCCCAGGGCTACTATATGCTCTTCTATAACTGACTACAGCATTCATAATTTTCAGGGAGCACGGGAAAGAGAAAGGCTTCTTCTCTAATAACATTATGAATTCAGGTAAGCCATCCTCCACATGTCACGGGGACGCCCTAGTCTTCCAAGCACTTCTTATAGACCAACGTGTCGTTGGGAGGATGTCATTCTCACAGCCCCCCAGGATGGCTCAGGAAGCTGAGAAAGCAATGGTTCTATCATCTCTTACGAAGGGTGAATTTTCTGCAATCAAAATAGGTTTGTTTTCTGGATAGGCAGCCTCATTAAAAGCGCCAGGAAACACGGGTTGGTGGCCTGTCCTCTTGAATCTCTTGGGTGTGTTGTCAGGGCTGAGCCACTTCCTGTGCTTCCTCTAGACGTTGGCGGGGGGGCGGGGGGCTGGGCAGGGAGCACTGTTCATGATGGCATCCCCCCAGTAGACGTGGACGACCAGATATTTACACATACGAGTCATCACGAACATCCAGGAGAGGAAGGGGAGGTTTTGGTTCTGCGGAAAGGATGACAAATGCAAACAGATGGCCTGGACAACAGGGCAAATCAGGACCTGGGCCCAGACCCAGGGAGACCTGATCTCCCCACCAAGGTCTGGGTGACAAAGGTCACAAACCGTCCCCCAGTGCTGTCTCCGCAGATCACAACCCGGAGGGATCCACCCCACTGGTTTTCAGGCCTTCAGGAAGTGAATGGCGGCATTCAGGCTGTCTTGGGAAATGACAAGGGAATGGGGATCAAGAAGCTTGCGGTACCTCAGGAGCAAGCAGGGAACAAAAGCTACCAGTGTGGACAAGTGTCTCTGGGAAGCCGTTTTAACAGTGTCCTCAACTCTCCCTTGCAATCCTGTATCTGATTCAATCCTCAGAATGACCCCATGAGGTAAGGATTTTTATCCCTGTTTTTTGCATAGGAGGATGTGAAGAACCTTCCCTTAGTCTAACAGACAGGGATTCTTGACTCCAAAACTATGCTCTGTCTCCTTCCCGTAGATGTAGACACTCCATACAAGACTACACCACTTGAGAGCTATTTGCATTGTAAGCAGAACAACCAGCAATGCCGGGAGAAGCAAATGGAGCTAATGGCCGTCCCCCTGCCTGTCAGGAGAGAAAGGGATGGGCAAACTAAAGTTAATGGCAGAATTTTTTTTCCAAATCAAAAATCTAAAGACCAAGGTTTTTTCTTAGCCAATGACTCAACGAGTTGCCTTCTGTTCTGGGGTCGTGGGGAGGAGGGATGCGGTTGGGAAGTGTTCCGAGGGGGGAGGTGTAGAAGAGGTAAGCAGGCAGGAAGGAGCTCAGGTTGTGGAGGAACAGGTGCCGAGGCTGGTGGAAAGCATCCCTAGGGTTGGTCTAAGCCCCGGAAGCGTGGCTCCTCATAGGAATTCAAGAGCAAAGAGAAGGAGCTTCAAAATGAACTTCTAGATGTGGTACATATATACAATGGAATATTATTCAGCCATGAAAAAGAAGGAAATCCTGCCGTTTGTGACAACTTGAATGAAAGTTGAGGGTATTATGCTAAGTGAAATAAGTCAGACAGAGCAAGACAAACACTGTATGGTCTCACTTATATGTGGAATCTAAAAAAGCCACACTCAGGAAAACAGAGAGTAGAATGGTGGTTACCAGGGGCTGGGCGGGGCAGGAATGGGCAGATACTGGTCAAAGGGTACAAACTTCCAGTTATAAAATTAACAATTTCTGGGGATCTAATGTACAACATGGTGATTATAGCTAATAATACCGTACTATATACTTGAAAGTTGCTAAGAGAGTAGATATTAAATGTTCTCACCATAAAAAAGAAACAATAATTATGTGATGGGATGGAGGAGTTAGCTAATGCTATGGTGGTGATCATTTTGCAATAAATACATGTATCAAATCAACACGTTGTACACCTTAAACTTACACAATGCTATATGTCAATTATATCTCAATAAAGCTGGGGAAAAATTAACTTCTAAAAACAGTGAAACACCAACTAAACAACATATGGATCAAAATCAGGAAAATAGAAACGAATTTAAAAAACAGAAACAGTTTGGCTAAACTGCTTGGATTCAAGAGTTTATTTAAAACATCATTGTTATCCTAAATTTTTATTTGAGGTTGTTACTAATCGCCTTTTCTGTTCTTACAACATACCACTTAAAAGCATCAAAACAGTGTATTCTACTTGTAAGATTAAATTTGGAAGATGCTAATTAGGAAAAACCACACCTTAGATTAGTGGCTTTCAAACTTGGTTAGAACAACACAATTTCTTTTTCTATTAGAATGATACAAGGAGCCCCGCTGTAGAAAATAAGTTGCAATCGTTCTGGTTTTGCCCGAGGATGAGGGGCCTGAACCCCCCAACCCATTCTTCTTTCCTTTTGATCTCCACGGCCACCTCTGAGGCCACGAGGAGAACCCTAGTGCTCTAAGGAACCCAGTTTGAAAATCATTGCCTTCTATTAGACTTTGAATTTTGTTTCTTTTAAAAGTTGCTCTAAAGCATCATCTTTAAAGATAGGTTTTGATTGACCGATTGTAACTTTGCAACATTTCCTCAATGAGCAACTTGATGATAAATAAATCACTATTATCGACACGGGTCCCCACTTAAACTCAGGAACACATGTTACTTGTAGGGTCCTCGAAGTGAGGTGGCCCCAGCACCCAGAGCAGCAAGCACAAACTTCAACTTCCGTTTTTCCATTTCTAGAAGCCTCACTAAATGTTGAACAAGCAAACCTGACATTATGAAAGACATAACAAACATTAGGTGCTTTCCATTAGCAGAAGCCCTGACCTGCTGGAAAGCGGCAGCAATGCCCCGTGCCTCCCTGTGGTCTCTCTTGCCCACTCAGGGCAGGGGGGAAGGCTTTGCAGAATCGAAGGGTCAAAAGGCTGACCTTCCCCGGAGCTTAGGTAGGCAGTCCCATCACGGCCTGATGAGGAACCAGGGAACTTCTACACCCTGAACATCTCCCTGTGTTCAGCGCCTCTAGAGCGTTTCCTCCCAGGCACCGTCCACCTGCAGCCCCCTGGCAGCCTGAAGCACCTTCCCTACCTCTCTGCCTCCACCAGCCACTCCATCAAGATTGGTCTGGCCCACGCACCAGGTCTTTTCAACTATCTAGAATAGCGATATCCTTAGCAATTCCCCACGCAGTATTAATGCAGGTGCTTATAAACACCTCTATGTGCCACCTGTTCAAGGGGTTTTTTATTATCACAAAGGGCTTCAGAGACGTACAGTCTGGTGGAAACTCCAACGGTGGATTTTCAGACACAATGCTAAGCCAGTTGGGAAGTATGTCAAAGAGTACTGGAAAGATGCTGCCTTCCTCAATACCATGGAGAAGACCAGAGATGCCAAGTAAGTTGCTTTAAGTCACACAGCTGTACTGCCTACCCAGGCTGGGGGCAGCCAAGGTTTGCGGGGGCTCATTGTAGAGGTCAAATCTAAAAGGGCAGTTTCTAGTTTCATTTGCCTTCTCTAAACTCAGAACCTCTGGGGTGGGGCATGAGAGGCAGGATTCCCCAAATCACAGCAGGCAATGCCAGTGCCAGGGGAGGCTGTGAAGCACCAATCTGACGGAGAGAAGGGACAGGCTGCATGCTTCATTAGCACCGTTCCAGGGAGGTGCCGGAAGGAGGGTCAAAATAGAGCTGAGTGGGCAGCTTCCAAGTGGGTCTCGGTCCTGACTGCTGATTAGCGTCATCCAGGGAGCTATTTAAAAATTTTGATGCCTAGACCCCACCCAGAGACAGAGAGCCGGCCTGGGGTGGGACCTGGGTGTATGGCTTCAGAGCCCCTGGGTGATTGTAAAGCGCACGCAGCCAGTGGAGACCCTGCTAGCCACAAGCCGGGTCCTGGCGACCTTTCCCACTGCGTCTCCCTGCTCTGGCGCCCTGACACTCTTCCTTTCCCTCAAGCCCCTGTTCCAGGGCTTTGTGCTTGCTGTTCCCTCTGCTGAGACTTAACCGGGTTGGGACTAGACTAGGGTGAGGCAAGCCAGGCACTCGCCTTGGGTGCAAAATTAAGAGGACGCCAACACACTCCATAACTGAGATAAATAATCCTTTGGTGCGATGTTTTAAGGAATCAAAACGATGCCAAGGGCCGGCTCCGTGGCTTAGCGGTTAAGTGCGCGCGCTCTGATGCTGGCGGCCTGGGTTCGGATCCCGGGAGCGCCCCGAGGCACCACTTCTCCGTCCAACGTGAGGCCGAGTCCCACGTACAGCAACTAAAAGGATGTGAACCTATGACATACAACTGTCTGCTGGGGCTTTGGGGGGGAAAAAACTGAATAAATAAAATCTTTAAAAAAAAAAAAAAAAAACGATGCCAAAAGTACCTGTGATGAACAACATATCAAAATTTTAAATAGATGGATCCTGCTCTGCATTTGCACAACTCACCCGGTTCTGTTGGATCCTACCTTTATATAAATGTTGATATTTGGTTCATCAGAGATTTTTTGCATTAATATTGATTTCTTAAATTATTGCATAAAAATATTACATATCTTGATGACTGCATTTTTTTGGCACCTCTTTCAAAATGGAGCCTGAGGCGAGTGCCTCACCCGCCTTCCCCTATTCCCGGCCCGACTTAGAAGGATTTTTTCCAGCCTCTGTAGGGCCCGTTCTTCTTCACCGTCGGGCCTGGGATCAAATTTTACCTTCTTGGAGAGGCTTTCTCTGATTGGAAAAACTAAGAAGGGCGTGAGTCATTCTCTACTCCGTCACCCTGTGCCGTCACGATGTGAAATTACCTGACGTTTGTTCTCTTTCTTTGTCCAGCCCCCTCATTTGAGTCGGCTCCCTGAGGGCCTTTCTGGTCCTCCACTGGGTCCCCTGTACTTGGAAGAGGGTCTGACATGAAGTAAGTGCTCAGTAAATATTTCCTGAATGAGCCCTGGTTTTCCTTTCGGAAATTACATCTTCCTTCCGCAGAGGGAGGGTAACAGCCAACTAGTGGGGTGCTTCTGGGGGCCTCTAAAAGGGGAGAGTGATCTTGGACAAGGATGGGGCCAGTAGATGGGAGATATTCAGAGTTAACTTCTGAAAAAGAGAGAGCATCCTGGCAGGAAATTCAGATATTGGTATTTCCACCGCCAGGTGGCAGTACATCCTAATCTCAAGGAGTTATGTAATGGGAGAAGCCTGTCTCTTCACATGGGCAAATTTTCTCACATGTCCATCCATCCATCCGTCCATCTGTCCATCCATCCATCCATCCATCCATTCATCCGTTTGTCTGTTCATTCATGAACACATCCTTTCATCCAGTTATTCACCCATCCATCCATCTACCTATTCATGCACTGAAACATTCATTCGAAAAATAAAACCCACGGGCCAGGCACTGGGGACACACCAGCAAACGGAAGGCTTCCCTGCACTCTTGGAGTTTCCATCTTTAGTTGAGGGAAGACAGACCGTAAATAAGGAAAAGCATGAGGGAACAAGGTAAGTTCAGCTAACGACAAGTGCCATGAAGAAAATGTAAAAGGATGATGTCAGGACTGGAGATGGGGGGGTAGGGTGGGGCAGTACAGTGGGCAGGAAGCGTTCTTCAGATAAGATGTTCTGGGAGGCCACTCTGGGGAGGGACATTTGAGATCAGACTGAAAGAACAAGGGGTCGCCTGTAGTGCAAAGTCAGGGGGAGAGGGGAGACATCTTTTGAGGCTGAGGGAGCAGGAAGTACAGAAGATTCCGAGTGCGGATGAGCCTGGTGTGGCCACGGCACAGAGAGACGGGCCGTGTGGCTGCAGCAGAGGGAGACCCAGGCGGTTGGGCGGTCGGAGAGGTCGGCAGGGCCAGCTCGGTCAGAGCCTCACAGGCTGTGGGAGGAGTTTGGGTTTCACCTGAGAGCACTAGAAAGCCACAGGAGGGGTTTAAGCGCAGGACTGACAAGCTCTGTATTTTTAAAAGCCCTTTCCGGCTGCTGGGTGAGGAACAGACTGTGAGGGGCGGAGGTGAAGAAGGGAGAGCGATTGCAGGGGTGCAGGGTGAAGAGGCGCGGGAAGAGAAGACGGCACCCTGGATCACGGGGGGATTGCAGAGCCTGAGAGAAACGCATGGGTTGGGGATATATCGTTGGGGGAGAACAGACAGGACCAGCGATGGCTGTGAGCAGTGCAGGAAGAGAGAGGAGGCAACACCCCAGTGCCGTGAACGCCCCACTGAAACGCATCACTGCCCTCACCTTGACCAAGACTATCACAAGATAGGAAAGAACATTCTCCATGTAGATTTGCACACCATCGGCTCACTTGAGCCCAAAACCCTTAGTCAGGGCTCCCCTAAAAATCTCCAACTGCTGACTCCTTGGAGTTACTCCAAAAAGGTTCTCGTGGAAGAAGTGGGCAAAGTTGTGCATGTAGACGAGGCTCTTCCTTTATGAAGCCACAAGGAAGCACCTTTCCCAGGCTCCAGAATAACCCGCCCACTCCGTGGAAGAAGACGATGCCTCCCCGGGGTTGAGGGATGCTGCCTTGGGCTGGGACAGTCTCATGCATATGGTCCCAAAACACAGGTCAGTTACTACAAGTCTAGGGTCCTGCTTTATTCTCATGCTGTCAAGTACAAAACGGACAAATCTGGACATCGAGCAAATTCCCAACTTCTGAAATACATGCCCCTGTTAAAGGGAAGAGAAAGAAAGGCAGATGTTAGGAGAGGTTAGGGTCTTTCCGGATGTTAGGTGACTCCTGTCACTTATAATTACTATGAGGTTTTCACAGTTTCTCGTCTGCTTCACCTGCCTGGACCCGGGGCTCATCAGGAACTGATGGGCTCTGGGTTGTGTCCAGATAGAGGGTTGGGTTTTCAGAATTGCCTCCCAAAAACTCTTGGTTGAATAATGGTATGAATTTGCCAAAGGGCTAGCCCACGTTTGGGCTGAATGGTTGGAAGTCATCGAATTGACCAAAGGGAGGCCAGCAACCTCACTCTCTTCGGCTCCCCAGCCTGAGATGGCAAAGATGGCTCATCAACACTCGTCATTGCCCACCCGGAGCTCTGGGCTGTGACGGATTCTTAAGCCATGTTTGTGCTCAACAGGAAAGAGTGATGGGATCAGTCAGGGATGTCTGCCATGGGCTCCGGAGGAGGGAGCAATGGCTCAAGGCTGTAGATTGCCAAATGCGAAAAGAATTCCGTTGTTTTTAAACTAATATGCTCACTCTAGTTATAAATAAACAAATATCTGAATATTTCATGAAATATAGTTACAAAGTATCATATTGCATGTACTAAATGCATTTCAACCACTTCGGATCGTCTCTTCCATGGACCTCACATTGAGTGTGTGTCTTTGTCATAAGGAAAACAGCACGGGACGATGATAATGAAAATAATAAGAAAGTTGACACTTATTATTCACCTACAATATGCCAGTACTGGTCCAAGTGGTTTGGATTATTAACTTGCTTAAACTTCTCAGTGACCCTTCTAAGTCAAGCACAATTATCAGCTCCATTTTACAGATGGGGAAACTGAGGCATACCAAGTTCAAGTGTCTTGCCCTTCAATGAGGAAGATGCAGAACTTGTGTTCTCAACCACTAAACCAGAAAGAGCTTGAGTTCTGGAGTCAAGTAGATCTGAATTCAAATCTTATCTCTACCACCAAGCGACAGAAAGGCCTTGGGCATTACCTTCTCCTAGCTTCAATTTTCCTTGTTTATAAAATAGTAGAATGGGCTCTACGGTCCGAGGATGAGGCACAGGGATTAGAAGTGACCACTCAGGGGCTGGCCTGGTGGCGCAAGCGGTTAAGCACGCGCGCTCCACCGCGGCAGCCCGGGATTCGCTGGTTCAGATCCCGGGTGCACACCAACGCACTGCTTGGCGAGCCATGCTGTGGCGGCGTCCCATATAAAGTAGAGGAAGAGGGGCACAGATGTTAGCCCAGGGCCAGTCTTCCTCAGCAGAAAAAGAGGAGGATTGGCAGATGTTAGCACAGGGCTGGTCTCCTCACAAAAAAAAACAAGTGACCACCCATATGGAGTGTCTCACTGGTGGGTCCTGGCAAGTGTGAGCCCCACTCCTTCTCTTGCTCACACCCACTGGGTCTTGTCCCAGTTCCTGTGCGATGCCCCAATGCATTCCCTCCATGGAGAGACCCCCCCCACAAGGCTTCAGTTTCCCAAAAGGAAACTCCAAACAAAACCACTATTTCTTTGCTTCAGCTGGAGGAGAGCGAGGTGCCCTCAAGGTGGAGATGACCTGCTTTTCCCACCACTGAGCCCACATCTGAGGAGGACACCAGGCCTCCGTGCTGAGCCAACCTGGACCTTCACCAACTCAGCTCTAAGCGCTGAGGGCACTTCCCGTCGGCTCAGGTCGGCTCCAGCTCTCGCCTCCTCCGCCATAGTGTCCCACACGCTCTGGGCTCACCCACGGCTCACACTGCTCCCGGGAGCCTTTATTCCTGTCCTCCAAGTGGATGGAGACCAAGCTGATGCTCATATCCAAACTCAAGACCGTGTTCTCAGTGAAGCCATCCCTGACCTGTCCTCTTGCCCTTCACAGTTCCTTCGAGGCCCTAAGTACCCTGCTCAGATTTCTTTAGAGCCCCTCCAAGCCTGTACTGCATGGATACGATCATCCATGTGTCTCCTTCCAGCAAACTGAACGCTTCCTGTCAGCAAAGATCATATCTCATTCATCTCTGTGTCTCTAGCATCTAGAAGACTAAATGTTTTGGGGATTTTGAACAATGCAATGTGGTAATAAACCTCTCTTCGCATGACATTCTGAAAGGTCACTAGATATGACCAGGAAGTTAGATTTGTTTTCGTTATTCCAACAGTGGGGCCACATTTTCCAGAGCTGGTCATTTCAGACAGAGATGAGTGAAAGAAGATTGATTATTACTCATTATTATTTATAATATTATAAGCATGTATTGTTTCTATATAAATATTACATATATTTTATATATAAATTTACAATATTTTTATATAAATGTTATAAATATAATATATTATTATTTATAATAATTTATTAGTAGTTGTATAAATGGGAGCATCAATAGTTTAGAAATGCTTGAAGTCCAGAACTTTAGATAGACATTGAAACTCTTTTACAAAATATTCTAGCAGTGTTTACCCTTTAGCATAAAATCAATAGTGTTTGTTATATTATTCTTTTTTGTGTGTTTGTGAGGAAGATCAGCCCTGAGCTAACATCTGCCAATCTTCCTCTTTTTGCTGAGGAAGATTGGCCCTGGGCTAACATCCATGCCCATCTTCCTCCACCCCATATGGGACGCCGCCACAGCATGGCTTGCTGAGCGGTGCATCAGCGCGCGCCAGGGATCCGAACTGGCGAACCCCGGGCCGCCGCAGCAGAGCGCGCGCACTTAACCCCTTGCGCCACCGGGCCAGCCCTGTTATATTATTCTTTATATCTTTTAGTAAGGCTGAAACCATTCATAACAACTTTTAAATCTATGATAATTTCAGGAAATGCTACATCTTTGCCTTCGGGGATTTGATACATATTACTAATAATCTACATTTGCTGAGCCCTTTCTAAGTGTCCAGCACTGTGCTGAGCACTTTAAATGCATTTCTCATTCAATCCCCACATCATCCCAACAAAGAGCACCTCTTGCAATCGTCATCTGTCAGAGGAGAAAATGGAGGCTCAAAGACACGACGCCACAAAGCTGACAAGTGGGGGATGCGGGGCTCAGACCGAGGTTGTCCGACACCTAAACTAAGCGCTTGATTTCTGGTCCATAGAATCTTTTTAGGTTTTTCCTTGTTCTCCTTAAAATTCTCGTCTCTCCTATGTCTGTCTGTCTTCTGGAACTGAGTGAACATTAACCACTTGGACATCATCATCCTCAGCATCGTCACCCTGTGATGGGCAGTGTGTCCTGGGGGGACCCAGGCAGTGCTGGAGGGACCAAGATGGGACGTGACAAGCTGAACTCACCCTTCAGAGCCAAGCGCAGACCCGTCTCAGAGGCTCCTGTGAGCAGCCGTAGCAGCTGCCGTCTGCTGATGCTTAGTGTGTGGGCTCCTCCAGAGGAGAAACACACAAGGTTGGAAAGGTCTCGTTTTTTATGGCCTACCTGGACATCCAAGACCCTCATTTTTTGTCCTGGGGCCTCAGATGAGTGTGTAATTCCACAGGATTGCAACCACTGGTTTGAGACAGCCTGACGTCAGTGAAGTGCGTGACCAGAATAAATCAGAGAGATGAGAGTACCACATCCTCAGCCTATCTCCTTGGACCAGTAGCATTTATGTAATTACAAACTAGACTTGCTCATTTCTCTGAAAGTCATCCATGTCCATGGTGAAACATTCCAGCAGCACCAAACATATTTTGTCTACCAAACATATTCACCCTTGTCATTTGTCATCTCATCCTTGACCAACCTGAAGAGATAGATACTATTGTTCCCCTTTCACAGAGGAGGAAACTCAGACACAGAGAGGTTAAGTAAATTGCCCAAGATCACACAGCCAGTGAGTGGCAGAGCTGGGAGGCACACTCCGAGGGCACACTCTGTGCTCCTTCCCTTCACTCTGCTGACAGAGCTAAGCGTGGCCTCCTCGCCTCCTCCTCCACAGCTGCCCTCCCCACAGGTCATCAGTGTGAACTGTTCGGCTGCTCTCAGGTCCCCACCCAGAGTTGGGACACTGGGGTCACATCAATTACCCACCTCCTACAAGAAGCCAAACCGTCGTTTCCAAATCTGCTGCAGCTCTAGGCACATGCTGGCGGACCCACAACCCACAACCCCCAACCCCAAATCCCTGCTCAGAGCCGCTGGCGTGGCCACCCTAGATGCAGGGTGAAGTCACTCATACTTGACAAGCACATGGTCAGCACCTGCCAGGTGCCAGCCCTGTGCCAGGGCGGGGCTGTCAAAGGTGGAGGAGGCGGCCCCGCCTCCCAGGTGCTTACATCTGTGCAGGGAAAAGGCCTGGACGGGATTAATGCACCGAGGGCCTAGGAGGCTGCGGCTGGAGCAGGTCCACTCCCTGTGGGGCTGTAAACACTTTGAGGGCAGGGACGGGGTCTGCAATTGTTCTGGAATCCTCAGAAACCAGCCTGGTGATTGGTACGCTGGAGGTGTTTGATGTTGAAGGAAGAAAGGGAGGGAGCGTGGGAGAGAGGAAGGGAAGGGAAGAGGTGGGGAAACTGAATAGCAGATACAAAAGAGAGTGTCGCAGAGTCCGTCTGGGAGTTTGAAGAGAGAGAGGGAAGCAAATGCCGGAGGGAGAGGAGGGGCAAGGTACAGAGAGAGAGAGAGAGAGAGAGCCCCACCCAGGGTGAGGCCCGAGGGCAAACCCACCCAAGTGACCACATGCCGGGCGTGCAGTGCAGAAATCTCAACCTGACAGGAGGTCGCAGGGAGAGGGGACATCAGTGGTGAGGAGGTGCGGGAACAAAGCCAGACAAAGACTCCAGGGAAAAGGTGGACGGTGCCACTAGGAGCACCAGCCAGGACAACCATGTTCCTGAGGCTATGAGAAGCCACTGCCCGGGGGAGTCAGCTTGTAACTTGTGTCGGGAAGACCTGGCCTGCTTATGTGGGCTGTCTCCTCCCTCCCACTCTTTGTGGGCTCCCTGACTCAGTGGCCTGACCTGGCTTCTTACAGGCAAACACAGCTGGACCAGTGGGACAGGAGGGACCTGCTTCCCCAAGGAATGCAGGGACCAGGAAAACCAATCCTGCCCATCAGGGGGAAGTCTTGGGAGATGGGCTTCCCAAAGGCTCGGCAGAGATCAGGCTCAAACAGCACCTGAGCACTGAGGGAGGAGCCTCGCATGGTTGCACAGGCCTCTGTGGCCTGATCGTTCAACTGTAAAGTAGGAGACACACGGCCAGCCTTCCTCGCCGGGGCTGGTTAGGGTGGGCAAAGCACATCTCATTCCAGTTGGCTGCCCTGCCTGCACTTTGATGCTCCATCCAGGCCGTGGGGAGAGCAGTGCAGCCGAGGGTTCAGAGGAACCACTCGGTCGCCAGCCTGCCTGGGTTTGAACCCTGCCTTTTCCGCTTCCTGGCTCTGTGGTTTTACATAGATTATATCTGTTCTCTGCATCTCGGCTTCCTCTTCTGTAAGAAGGAGATAATTATAGTACCTAACTGAAGAACTGTAAATAGTGCTGCAATGAACACGGGTGTGCAAATATCCTCTCGTTTTTCAAGTAAATTTCATTCAGCTATAATAAATAAATTTATGCATATATATGCATGTGCAAAAGTGCATACATCATAAGCATACAGCTTGAGGAATTTTCACAAAGTGAACACACCCGAGTAACCAGCACCCACATCATGATGTAGAACGTCTCTAGCATCTAGGCGCCCCTTCTCCCCATGACCACCGCCCCCTCCCCCACCCACCAAAGGTAACCACGATCCTTCCTGTAATAGCCAAGACTCATTAGGCTGGTTTCTGAATTTTACGTAAGTGGGATCACGCAGAGAGTATTCCTTTATGTCTTGGCGTCTTTCACTTGACACCGTGTTTGTGAAATTCTTCCGCGTTGTATAGATTAATCCATTCATTCTCGTTCTTGTGTAGCATTCCATTGTATGAATATACCACAACCTACTGTCCTGTCGGCTGCTGATGGACATTTGAGTTTTGCCAGCTATCAACGTATTGCCTCCCAGCTCCAAACTCACCATTTTTGCCTGCTCTGTGAAAATGGAGGTGGAATCTTTCAATATTTTTCCTTTGTCCATTGCCACTGAAGCATCATCAGGAAAGGGTACTAGAGAGATATCTCAGGAGAGGAGGGCTCTGCTTCCTGGTTCCAGCTGTTCACATGGGACAGGGTCCTGTAGCCCATGTGGCTTCACCAGTGCCCAGTCTCTGCAGTGTGTGAGGAAAAGTTCAATATAAGGAATTATTAACTATAACAGTGTATAGAAATTATAAGAGATTGGCTAGCAAGAAGTAAATATTACCACACAAAGGGCACAGTCTGCTCACCGCGAGACAAAAGCCAATAGTCAAGAGGCAAGATGGTGGCAGAGAAAGGGCATTTTATTACAGCTTGCTAGCAAGAGGGAAGATGGCTGACTAATGTCCAAAAGAACCATCTTAAGGGGGCACAAAACCTTACAGCAGTTATATAGGCCAGTGGGTTACAGGGGAGGGGGTTAGGAATGTTGACCCTCTGGTGTTACAGACTGGGAGTGCCACACCAGATCTTTCAGTTGTCATTGATGATGGCTATCAGCATAGGCTCTCTGTTCAGGGGTCATCACTTTCCTAAGGAACTCAAAAGAACAAAGTTATCAACTTATTGCAGCTGGGAGGTACATGCACAAGCAAGGGTCGTAAAATCTACAGAGCAGTTAGATCTCCTGGAGGGGGCATATCCAGCTGGGTTAGTTAGTCAGAGGTCATTCAAAGTTACAATAGGGCTTCTTTTCTAATATGGCTTACTTTATGTCAACCTCGTCTTGAGCCAGTATCAGTAAAGAGAACTCAAAAGAACATAGGAATTGCAGATGTAAGGAACAGCTATCACCCCTACGGCTGAGATAGAGCACCCAAAGAAGACCCCACCTCCCACCCCATAGGGCTGAGACCCAGAGCTCGTTGGAGAGGGCATGGTGTGACTCACTGAATTGGCAAAGAAGGTGCTCTGCTGCTGTACCAGTGGGACTTCCTGGCATCTACCCCTCCCCCCACCCAAAAAATTTACTGGAAATCTGCCCTCTTGGGTGCTAGGGAGAGCCATTCATTCACAGGGAGGTATCTTGCTGGAGGCGCTCTGAAGTTAAACTACCCAGGGGGGCTGGAAGGGAAAGCCACTGCAGGATCCCTTGCCAGAGAAGCCATCTGCCCTGCAGGAGCTTAGAGCTAGGAAAGCCACACAGACTGCAGGATCTGAGGACTGGGAAGCCACCCACACTTCAGGAGCTGGGCCTGGAGAGGCATGTGGAACAATTTATGCCCCAGGGCATTGTTGGAAACAATAGAGCAATCAACTTACAATTAGGGGAGGCTAACAGCTGGATGTGACACCAATGGGGGCAAATAGCTTAACAGAGGTCAGGGAAAGCCAGAGAGAGCCCTAATGAAATAATCATCCCAGGCCCAAGACTGCACCCACTGAGGAGTGACATCAGAAGTTGCACACTGCAAGGGAAATAGACTTTACTAAAATAGTCCATCCAAGTCACTAAACAAATAAACAAGCAAACCACATGAGCAACAAGCCCAGGGAGGAGTGAGGGAGGAATTGGTATCCAGCATCGCTACAATACGATATCTAAAATCTCCAGTTTTCAGCAAAGAAAGTTACAAGACACACAAAGAAACAGGAAAGTGTGATCCATACTGAGCAAAAAACACAGGCAACAGAAACTGCCTTTAAGAGGACCCAGATGTCAGACTTAACAAAGGCTTCAAAGCAGCTATTGTAAATATATTCAAAGAGCTAAGGAAAATCATGAGTAAAGAAGTAAAAGAAGGTATGAAGACAGTGTTTCATATAGAGAATACCAACAAAGAGAGAGAGATTATTCAAAAAGAACAACCAAACTTAAATTATGGAATTGGAAATTATAATAACTGAAATGAAATATTCACTAGACAGGCTCAACAGTAGATTTCAGCTGGCAAAAAAATAATCAGCAAACTTGAAGGTAGATTGATAGAGACCATGAAATCAGAAGAACAGAGAGAAAATGAATGAAGAAAAATGAACAGAAACTCTGAGAAAAGTGGGACATCATCAGACACACTAATATACATATAATGGGAGTACCAGAGAAGAGAGAAAAATAAACAGGAAATATTCAAAGAAATAAAGGCTGAAAACTTCCTAAATTGGATGAAAAACATTATACACATCCGAGTTCAATGAACTCCAAGTACGATCAACAGAAAGAGATGGTTTCACTGGTAAATTCTATCAAACATGTAAAGAAGAATTAATTCCAATTCTTTACAAACTCTTCTAAAAAATAGAAGAGGAGAGAACACTTCCCAACTCATTCTACGAGTCCAGTATTACCTGCATATCAAAGACAAAGACATCAAAAGAAAAGAAAACTATAGACCAATATCCCTTATGAATATACATACAAAAATCCTCAGCAAAATACTAGCAAACTGAATCCAGCAACATATAAAAAGATTAATTGCCAAGTGGGATTTATTCCAGTAATGCACAATTGGTTTAACATGTGAAATTCAATTAAAATAATACACCATATCAATAGAATACAGGACAAAAACCACATGATCATCTCAGTAGACGCTGAAAAAGCACTTAACAAAACCCAAACCCTTTCATGATAAAAACACTCAACAAACTCAAGCTAGAAAGGAACTTCCTGATTAAGGGCAGCTATGAAAAAGACACACCTACCATCCTACTTCATAGTGTGTATTAGTGTCCATTGCTGCTGTAACAAATTATCACAAACTTAGTGGCTTAACCAATACAAACTTATTATCTTACAGTTCTGGAGGTCAGAAGTCCGACATGGATCTCGTTGGGCTAAAATCAAGGTGTCAGCAGGGCTGCATTCCTTCCGGATGCTCTAGGACAGAATCTGTTTCCTCGTCTTTTCTAGCTTCTAGAGACCACCACATTCCTTGGCTCATAGCCCTCTTCCTCCGTCTTCAAAGCCAAAAACATCGAGCCCAGTCCATTTCATGCTGCCGTCTCTCTGGTTCTCCCTCCCCTGCCTCCCTCTTCTACTTTTAAGGGCCCTTGTGATTACACTGGGCTCACCCAGGTAATTTAGGATAATCTTTCTATTTTAAACTGATTCGCAATCCACAACCTTAATTCCCCTTTACTGTGTAAGGTAATATATTTGCAGGTTCCAGGATTAGGATATGAACATCTTTGGAGGGTCATTATTCTGCCTACCACATAGTGAAAGGTTGAATGCTTTCTCCTTAATATCAGGAACAAGATAAGGATGTCCACACTCACCATTTCTATTCAATATTGTACTGGAGGTTCTAGCCAGGATGATTAGGCAAAAACAAACAGATAAACAAACAAATAATTAGAGAGGTAGGTAGGTAGACACATGATAGGTAGATGGATAGGTAGATAGGTAGATACATGGATAGATGGATGGGTGGGTAGATAGATGATAGATAGATAGATAGATAGGTAGATAGATAGATAATGGGTGGATGGATAGATGGATGGGGGACAGAGAGAAAAATACAGATAAATAGATAAATGTCATCTAGGTTGAAAAGGAAGAAGCAAAACTATTTCTATTTGCAGATGACATTATCTAGTACATAAAAAAAACCTTAAAGAATCCACTAAAAAGACTATCAGAGCTAATAAATGAATTCAGCAAGGCGGCAGTGTACAAGACCAACGTACAAAAATAAATTGTATATCTATAGTCTAGCAATAAACAATCTGAAAATGAAATTAAGAAAACAATTCCATTTACAATAGCATCAAAAAGAATAAAATACTTAGGAATAAATTTAACAAAAGATTGCAAAACGTGTAGTCTGAAAACTTCAAAACATTGTTGAAAGAAATTATTGAAGACCTAAATGAATGCAGCAACATCTCTTATTTATGGCTAGGAAAACAATATTTTTAAGATGGCAAAACTTGTCAAGTTGATCTACAGATTCAATGCAATCCCTTTCAAAACCCCTGCTGTCTTTTTTTTTTTTTTTGCAGAAATTGACAAGTTGATCCTAAAATTCATGTAGAAATGCAAGGGATCTAGAATACTGAAAACAATCTCGAAAAAAAGAACATGGAAAAAAGAACTCACACTTTCCTATTTCAAAACTTACTAAAAAGCTATAGTAATCAAGACTGTGTGGTACTGGCATAATAAGGATAGATACATGGATCAACGGAATATAATTGAGAGTCCAGAACTAAACCATCATATTTATAGTCACTTGATTTTTGACAAGAATGCCATGGTAATTCAATGGGAAAAGAATGATATTCTCCCAGAAATGGTGCCAGGACAACTGGATATCTATCTACATGCAAAACAATGAATTTATATCCTTTCCTGACATCATGCACCAATATTAACTCCAAACGGATCATAGACCTAAAATAAGAGCTGAAACTATAGATCTCTAAGAAGAAGAAAACATAGGAGTAAATCCTCTTGACCCTGGATTAGGCAAAGCCTTCTTAGGCACAACATCAAAAGCACAAACAACAAAAGAAAAGATAGATAAATTAGACTTTATCAAAATTAAACTTTTGTGCTTTAAAGGATACCATCAAGAAAGTTAAAAGTAAACCTACAGAATGGGAGAAAATATTTTCAGATCATATATCTGATAAGTGATTTATATCCAGAATATATAAAGAAC